GCGATGGTTTGGCCGATAGTAAAGTCTGTTTGGCAAACCTAGCTGAAAAGTAAAGTTATAAGCTATGAGCTGAAAACGGAAGAGCTGTTAAGATTGAAAGTGTTTGGTAAAATTAGCTTTTTGATAAGCTGATAAATATAAAAAGACTAAAAAGTACATCTTCAAAAAAATTTAAAGTAGTTTGTTTACATATTAAAATTTAGCATTTTGTCTTAAAAAAATTTAAAGTAGTTTGTTTACATATTAAAATTTAACATTTTGTCTTTAAAAAAATTAACATTTTGAAATAAAACTATTAGCATAATCATACCTACACCGAAGCTTAAACCCTAAACCTCCCACATAAGAAAATAACTAAATACCAATGGACCACAAACCACTTCATATTTAACATTTCATAATGATGTAGCAATATTGTCGCGAATCTCCTTCACAAACTATAGCATTTGTCATATCATTTTCATATTCGAGATGCAATACAACAAAATATATACAAGTAATACAACAAAATAATATAAACATACTTGTGGACTATTGGGGACTGTGGGGTGTGATGGCTGATGGACGATGGAGTGCGAATGAAGATGAAGGGAGTGGAGTGCGAATGAAGATGGAGGGATTGCCGTGCGGTGAAAGTTGCTGAGAACAGAAAAGGGTTTTAATTGAGAAGGGTAGAGTATGTCATTTCTGTAAAATAATAATAATAAGGATAAAGATGGAAAAAAAAAGTTAGGAAGCTAGTAGCTTATTTTGAAACGCTACACTAAGGTAGCGTTCCAAAATAAGCTCTTATTTTAAGCTAGGAGCTTATTTTGGGAACATTACCAAACAGAGCCCATTAGCTTAAAATAAGCTATAAGCTCCTAAATAAGCTCTGCCAAACAGAGCCGCAATCTCAAGTAAGAGAAGAGATTTCAATTGATTTGGGAAGCAGTTTCAAAATCAATTGAAATTGGGAAGAGATTTCGAAATTGGGCATAAGTTTGGAGAAGTTTCGAAATTGTAGAAGGGAAGAAGTTTCAGAATTGAAATTAGGATGCAATTTCTTAATAAAGGAAGAAGTTTCACAATCAAAGATGTGAAGAGATTTCACAATTGGGAAGCAATTTCTAGATTAAATTGGGAAGCACTTTCTAGATTAAATTGGGAAGCAATTTCACGTGTGAATGGGAAGAAGTTCACGTGAAAGGGAAATCCAAAATTGGGCAGCAGTATCAATTCATGGGAAGAGATTTGCAATGTGCTTAAATTTCATGCAGAAGCTATAAATAGCAAGGGATGAAGTTGCAAATCTAAATAAAGCATGTGATGAGATTTCAAATACCAAATATGGAAAGGGATGAAGTTTCATTGCCAATTAAGGAAAGGGAAGAGATTCTAAGTCAATTAAATATAAAGTCTGAAGGCAGTAAACGTGAAATACAGAGGAATTACAAGCAGAAGTTGCAGAAGGAAAATTACTAGTCCAAACTAGTAAGGGTTTAAATTGAAGAATACATTTGAAGATAAAAATCCCAAAGAGGAGAGAACTTTATTAGAAGAAGTTGGAGAAGCCATTTTTGTGTAGATTTGAAGCTCAACCTGCAAAGAATCTCTAACATATCTGCAACATTATCTTATCCTCTGAAAAGGCTACAATGCTTACAAGAATTCAAATTTGAGTTTGTTTTTTTCCAACGGGCAAATTCTCAAACCAGCTATTTAAGGATGAAGATTTCGAAGATGAAGCACAACTTCTAACCAGCAGAAGATACAACAAGAGAGCTCTAAACATTAGAAAGCATACGAAATACCAAGTGAGAAAAACACAAGTTTTCAGAGCAAAGAGAAAGCTTACAGAGAAAAACACTCAGAGTGATACAGAGCTTACAAAGAAATATCCAAGAGTATTAGAATCTTCATCAACAAGAGACTTGGCGTACATTGAAGAAACCATCCAAGAAGTTTCAAAGTTGGAAGCAAGGAAAAACTTGTTTTGGAGCAAAACAAGTGGAAGTTCTACCGGAGCGTAGAAGAAAGGGGGAAACTAACACGGAGTTATGAAATCCCAGTTGTAGTTCTACCTGAGCGTAGAAGAAAGGGAGAAAGTAACACGGAGTTGTGAAATCCTGGAAAGTAGCACGGAATTGTGAAATCCGAATCGTAGTTTACCGGAGTGTAGAAAGGAGAGGAAAGTAGCGCGGAGTCGTGAAATCCTGTAGCAGTGTTGTAGGCATTGGAAAGGGCGTGATTAGTGCGGGCTTTGTGATCAAAGCACTAGATCACGTAATTCATTGTATCTTGGAACCAAGAAGTGGTGGATATAGTGAATTGCTCTTGGAGGATAAGAACAAGTGGAGTAGGAGGTATATATACATTTCCTTGAATATATTGTATTATTATTCGGTGGAATTGATGAGTTTCAGCTCCCTTTGTTTGGCAGAATTGATGAGCTTCAGTTCCCTTTGTTTGGCGAAATGATGAGATTCGGCTCCCTTTGTTCGGCGGAAGGAGCTTAGGCTCCACTTTGGTGGATAAGGTTGGACTGGTGTTTCAGATGGACTGGTGTAAAGGTTGGATATTGTATTATTATATTGCATTTGGCTATGTGATATGTATTCCTTTGGCTATGTATATATACCACTATACCATGTTGTTGTGAGAACTCTTGGAATCCCATTGTTGGTTAACTTGGTTATATCTCTTGTGTTGCCTATTGAATCTAAGTTGATATGAGTATGTTCCCTGTTATCTTAAAAAACTTGAACTTTTCAATCTTGGGTATTTGGTCTAGTGGTATGATTCTTACTTAGGGTGCGAGAGGTCCTGAGTTCATTTCTCAAAATGCCCCCTTTTTTTTTTTTTTTTTTTTTTTTTTTTTTTTTTAATGAATGTTTATGTCTGTTGTTTGTTTACAAGAAGGCGCCGGTTCAATTCCTTTCATCCCGGGCATTTAGTTTAGTGATATGATTCTCGCTTAGGGTGCAAGAGGTCCTGAGTTCAATTCTCAGAATGCCTCTTTACTTTGGAAAATTATGCTGTGCATGGTGCATACGGATGCAAAAATGACGTCGTTTTATTAAAAATGCGCATCTCCCTTTAAAAAAAAAAATTCAGCTTCGATTCCCAGCAACAACATATGAACTAAAATTCCAGAATCGATGAACTATAATTCCAAAATCGATGAACTATAATTCCAGAATCTATGAACTAAAATTCCATAATCTAATCTATGAACTAAAAATTCCAGAATGAATGAACTAAAATTCCAGAATCTATGAACTAAAATTTCAGAATCGATGAACTACAATTCCAGAATCGATGAACTATAATTCCAGAATTGATGAACTAAAATTCCATAATCTATGAACTAAAATTCCAGAATGAATGAATAACATAATGTTGTTGCTGGAAATCGAACCTGAATTTTTTTTAAGAAGAGACGCGCGTTTTTAATAAAACGACATCGTTTTTGCATCCGTATGCACCATGCATGGTGCATACGGATGCACAGCATAACTACTCATTTACTTTAGCGTTTGTTGTTTGTAGACAGTGGGGCAGTTCGGTTCAATCCAATAGCCCATTGGGCTCCATATTCATTTCGGATTTATGGACCCAGAATAAAAGAATTAGTTATATGCATAATATGTCTTGTATTAATAATTAATTTTTTTTTTCAAAAGAGAATTAATAATTAATTTGAATATCAAACTATCCCGTAATATCCCTGATACTTTAAAGGTAAATGATATTTCTTTATTAAGATGATATAAAATGTATAAACCTCAAACAAAAAATAGTCAATGATCAAATTGATAATTTCTTCAGAATTTATTTTCCTCAAGTTTCACGAACTCCACTTCCAAAGTTCCAATAGAAAAAAACAATACCACATTTTTTTTTTTCAAAATTTGTTATCCTCAACTTTCATGAACTCCACTTCCAATACAAAATGTTTTCCATCCAAACAAACAATATAAAACAAAATTTTCCTCAACTTTTAAATTTTAAGAAAATATTTTTCATGAAAAATATTTCCTAGTGAACCTAATACTTCGTTAAAGAATCATATTAACACAAAAGAGTTATTTACTGAAATGGTCACTTAACTATAGCGAAAGTATCAATTTAGTCGTTGACTATTTTTTCTTTTTGCCTAATTAAGTTCCTCAACTTTAAAAATTTTAATCAATTTGGTCCTCCGTTTGTTTTGCCGTCAGACTTCTGTTTACTCTGGACCAAATTAATAATTTTGCTATAGTCAATGGACCATTTTGATAATTAACTCTTCGGTTTAATAAGAGAGAAATGGTGCATATGATGACCGAAATGATCCATTGACTATAGCAAAATTACTAATTTGGTCCCGAGTAAACATATGTCTGATGGCTAAACAAACGGAGGATCAAATTGGTTAAGATTTTTAAAGTTGAGGGACGTAATTAGGCAAAAAAAAAAAAAATCAAGTATCAAATTGGTAATTTCACTATAGCCAATGGACCATTTCGATAATTAACTCTAACACAAATTACCACCTCTACCGGGATTTATTAACCACAGTTGCCTGCACGAGCTTAACTCAATGGTTCAATTGACAGTATTTGAGAGAAGAGATCAATGTTCGAATTCTGACGATGACAGTGCGGGGATTATGTCCAAACTAGACAAGATCCTTTATGCGTATCGGCATTTGGCACGGTATGCTAAGTCACCGTGATTTACATCCTCTAACTGCTCTGTCATACCGAGATGTAGGACCCTTGACCATTAATTATATGGAACTAAATAGTGGGCATAAATTAAAGTTTACCATGTCATCATAAAGTAAAAAAAGAAATGTCTGGAAGAAACGAGAATACTCAAAGAAGAAACCAATCAGCCAAACCTCCGAATTCACACCGTCGGTATCATCCAATCGGATGGCCATAATTCAAAGCTAGAATCTTCTAGACTCCCCTCTAACGTCACCTGCCATACATATATACACCGCCCCTGCTTTTCCTCTCTTTCACTGTAAAACCAGACCACCCACCGGAAAAAACTCTGTAAATTTCACTTACAAATTCGCGAATCAACAACTCAACTGCACTGCACTGCACTGCTGCGTTTACCTGATTGATTGATTGATTACTCATGGCTGGAAAAGGCGAAGGACCGGCGATCGGAATCGATCTCGGAACCACGTACTCGTGCGTCGGCGTTTGGCAGCATGATCGCGTCGAGATCATCGCTAATGACCAGGGGAACCGGACCACGCCGTCTTACGTCGCGTTCACCGATACCGAACGCCTCATCGGCGACGCTGCTAAGAACCAGGTCGCCATGAACCCTACTAACACCGTTTTCGGTAAGTTCCATAGCCGTCGTCCTGCTTCCTTTACACAATTCTTTTAGTTTTTGCTCGTACACAGTTTTGATTTGAAGTTTGAGTTGGATATGTGGATATATGTATGCTTGGTGTAGTGTTTGCATGTTGTAATTACTGTATGTGTTTCAGCGGTTGCTATTTATCTCTCCTCACTGCAGTTTCGTTAGGACTTTTCATCACCTGTTTGAATTTACTAGCTAACAGTAGTCTGTAGAATCCCTGTAATATATGCATTTAAATTCTATTATAGTATGAAAATTATAGTAGTAATTCAATTCCTAGTAGAAATTAGCTAATGAGTACGCAGTTTATGCAGTCATTTTGTACTATGTTGTTCTGTAGATTATCTTTTATTTTATTACCTGAAGAATAGTGTTTAAGTCCTGATTTACTTGATTCCAGATGCGAAGCGATTGATTGGTAGGAGATACAGTGATCCATCTGTTCAGAGTGACATGAAGCTGTGGCCTTTCAAAGTGATTGCTGGACCTGGTGATAAGCCCATGATTGTGGTGTCATACAAGGGTGAGGATAAACAGTTTTCTGCAGAGGAGATCTCCTCCATGGTTCTCACTAAAATGAAGGAGATTGCTGAGGCGTTCCTAGGTTCGACTGTGAAGAATGCTGTTGTTACAGTACCTGCTTACTTCAATGATTCTCAGCGTCAAGCTACCAAGGATGCTGGTGTGATTTCAGGGCTTAATGTGATGCGTATAATCAATGAGCCCACTGCTGCTGCCATTGCTTATGGTCTTGATAAGAAGGCGTCGAGTGCAGGGGAGAAGAATGTGCTTATTTTTGATCTAGGTGGGGGCACTTTTGATGTGTCCCTTCTCACCATTGAAGAAGGAATATTTGAAGTTAAGTCCACTGCTGGTGATACTCACCTTGGCGGTGAAGACTTTGATAACAGGATGGTGAACCACTTTGTCCAAGAGTTTAAGAGGAAGAACAAGAAAGACATAAGTGGAAATCCTAGAGCCCTGAGAAGGCTGAGGACTGCTTGTGAAAGAGCAAAGAGGACTCTGTCATCTACTGCTCAGACAACCATTGAGATTGATTCCCTTTATGAGGGTATTGATTTCTATACCACCATTACCCGTGCAAGGTTTGAGGAGCTTAACATGGATCTTTTCAGGAAGTGTATGGAGCCTGTTGAGAAGTGTTTGAGAGATGCCAAGATGGACAAGAGCAGTGTAGATGATATTGTTCTTGTTGGTGGGTCTACTAGGATCCCTAAGGTACAGCAATTGTTGCAAGACTTTTTCAATGGGAAGGAGCTCTGCAAGAGTATTAACCCTGATGAGGCTGTTGCCTATGGTGCTGCTGTGCAAGCCGCGATCTTGAGCGGTGAAGGCAATGAGAAGGTGCAAGACCTTCTGCTTTTGGATGTTACCCCTCTATCTCTTGGTCTTGAGACTGCTGGAGGGGTTATGACTGTTCTCATTCCAAGGAACACCACCATTCCAACAAAGAAGGAGCAGGTCTTCTCGACTTACTCTGACAACCAACCTGGCGTGTTGATCCAAGTCTATGAAGGAGAAAGGGCAAGGACCCGAGACAACAACTTACTTGGTAAATTTGAGCTCAGTGGCATTCCCCCAGCCCCAAGAGGTGTCCCTCAAATCAATGTTTGCTTCGACATTGATGCCAATGGTATCCTGAATGTATCTGCTGAGGATAAGACCACTGGCCAGAAGAACAAGATCACAATCACGAATGACAAGGGCAGACTATCCAAGGAAGAGATTGAGAAGATGGTCCAAGAAGCTGAGCAGTACAAGGCAGAAGATGAGGAGCACAAGAAAAAGGTTGAAGCCAAAAATGCCTTAGAGAACTACGCCTACAACATGAGGAACACCATCAAGGATGAGAAGATCAGTTCCAAGCTTCAACCCGACGACAAGAAGAAGATCGAGGATGCTATCGAACAGGCTATTCAGTGGTTGGATGGGAACCAACTTGCAGAGGCTGACGAATTCGAAGACAAAATGAAGGAACTCGAGAGCATCTGCAACCCCATCATTGCTAAGATGTACCAAGGTGGCGCTGGCCCCGACGTGGCTGCTGGCATGGATGAAGATGGCCCTTCTGCTGGTGGAAGCGGCACTGGCACTGGCGCTGGTCCCAAGATCGAGGAAGTTGATTAAGCTTTTTGATGTTTTTTGTTGTTCCGATGACTTTTGAATGATCGGGCTGTGTTTTAATAACGTTAAATTGTGTTCATTAGTTGTGTTTAAAAGCTTTTGGGTTGGAACTTGTTTAGCCTTGTACTATCTGTTCTATACCAGGTTCATGTTTCTACAGGTGCTCACTACTTACTAGCAAACAAGAAAAAAATTTCTTTTATATTTGCCTCAAAAAAACTTGGAACCATCCATCACAAATGTTGTAAAATGCCCAACAGAAAACAATCAAATATTCTTAAAAAGCTAAAAACAATTGACAGTGTTTCTTAATTAAGGCTGAAACAAAAACACAGCTAAATCAACTTATGATTCACATTTACTAATATAGAGTTAGTTCATTCTGCATTAGAGAATTACATTAATGCATCACAAATGACAATAGGAGGAGAATGCAAAAAGAAGGTTCTTACTTGTATAATATATTATATGATAAATAAGAATTTTAGTTATTTGTATATTCTTTAAGTGGACTAACCATAACTTCTTAACCAATGCAAACACATTTACGATTCACTCCAAGGAGAGGGATGGAGGCACACTTGAACCTCGTGCTCCTCAGGTCCTACGCGGTGTTTAGGTACAAGAATCTCGAGCATTGTCCCAGTCTCATCACCAAATGCTTCCAGTTTAGCGTTCTCTGGAATGCGAGTGTGGAGGAGAATTTCTCGGACAAATTCCCCAGGAGGGCAGTGTTCGGGAGCTGGATCGGTGAGCTTGAAAGACCTGTTTTGTCTTTTGATTGTCGGGGCACATCCAGTGCTTACGCATGATATCTTCACAATCCCTTGGGAGATGGTGTTTCTCCAAGTAACTTTTACCCTCTTGAGATCCACGAAAGGCATGCTAACGATGATCAAGAAACCCTCATCATCTTCGTATATAGTTTTTGCAGCTGTGACTGGACCACACGCGCACCTCATAACCCCAGAACATTCACTTAACCATGACGGCTCAATTTGATGGGCATCCGAGATTCTCTCAGAGTTTGAAATGTTAGATAAACAGAAATCGTCGTCATTTCCATGAGGGAAAGTGTTCTTCTTTCGTTTGTTGCAGGCAGCCAACATGTCTAGACCTTCCCCGTTGACATTGTTTGATGACGGAGTTGATAAATTCAGACTAGACCCATTGAGCAACCTTTTCGGATTTACTGAGTTACATTTTGGAGGTAGTCTCTCAAGCTCAAATTCTGTAGTCGGGATGACATTCCTCCATGAATCAAAATCAGTGGCCTCGGGAGGAATGGAGAAGTTCAAATCCCGCCCCGTAAGCTCCATCCACTTCTTTAGTTCATCCTCGTTGAGACCTGCAAGGTTGGGAGACCTAACGATTTCAATGCCATGAACACATTGCGGGTTAGACAGACCCCTATAATGCTTCCTCTGCATTTTGTGTGACCGAATAAACCCTTTATCCACACAAAATGGGAATGGCCTCTCTCCCTGGCGCGAGTGACCATTCATGAAATTCCTCAGCTGCATCTTCCCTAGAGCATTTTCAGGCCTCTCCTTGAAAACCCACATGTACATATTCTCCATATCATGCTGAACAAGGAAAACATCCAACTTCAAGTCTGACTTATCATACCCCGAAAGCCCTTTACCCTGACCAATGATTTTACCCTTAGATTTATCATTCAAAACCGGCTTAAAATAGAAATTGAAGAAAAACCAAGCACCCCAAACACTATCAAGCCTCTTGGCACACTTCTTCCCAATCTTGGTAGCATTGCCATTCATATCAGCCTCACATGGCTGGGAACCAAGACAAGCATCCAACATGAATTCATCTGAACATTGGAAAGTAGTAGGGGCATCTGAAAGTGGGATATTGATATCAGGAGGAATAGCACCCAGATTCAATTCCCTCTCAATTTCATCATGGGGAACTGAGGTGGAATCCATGGACAAAAGTGTGGAAAAATGATTGCTTTCCATGGATAAGGTTGTCACCACTTTCTCTTTTGCAGGCATCTTTACTATTACAACTTCTTAAACTAAGAGTTCAAAAGCTAGCTAACAAAACACCAGAACACATCAAAAACACTAATTCCATCAAACCCAGTCTACACACAGATTCACCAAACAACCAAACCCATTACCCATACAACCATTCCTCCGCCAAATTTCACATCCCAAAATCAGAAAAGTCGCGGCTTTACTCACCAATTCATTGAATACCCAGTAAAGATTTGACCTTCTAGAGATCAAAGTAGGGAAATACTGACGTCAAACACACAAGGTAGTGAATCTTGGGAAATATATACCATTCAAAAGCTGGATTCGAAGAGAACCCAGAAAAGCAAATAATATGGATACCGGAGTATATCTAGAGGGAGAAAAGAAGATGAGATGAAGGGTACCTCCGTACCTGAGAAGAAAAAAGGGTCTGAATCTGCGTGACGAATGGGAATGGAGATCGATGGTGACGTAAACGGGGAGAGACTGTGTAATGAGAAATTGGGTGCGGGGTTGAGACCGATATGGATTGGTGCCCCAGTTGGCTGGCACCGTCATGTGTCGAACATACGCCGTTAACTAACGGCGAGTCAGCGACAATGGAGCAGCCATAGCATCCTCAATAGTTTAGGGCAATTTGGTCCACATAACATTGTAGACCTTGATCAAAACAACGTCGTTGTTGTTTAAGTTTTAATAGATTTCATAACTTTTCGTTTCTCATGTTTCAACACATATTTTAATTTATTTTAGATACAGAATTCTTACGCTTAATGTACAGAATTGCATAATATGGTGTACAGAAACGCATAACACAAGATACATACACATGTTTTCTATGTTACTTATTCTCAAATCTGATTTATGTAAATAATTTATGTCTTATAGGCACATAATTTCATAATATAAGACATAAATTCGTAAAATAAGACACACAATATGTTTTGTGTTATACAACTACTAATCAATTTCAGGTACACAATCCTTACGCTTAATGTACAGAATTGCATAACATGATGTACAGAAATAAATAACACGATATACATACACATGTTTTCTATTTTACTTATTCTCAGACCTGGTTTATGTAAACAATTTATATCCTATAAGCACAAAATTTCATAATACAAGACGTAAATTCGTAAAATAAGGCACACAATATATTTTGTGTTATACACTTATACACATATTAATCAATTTCAGGTACATAATGTAAGCAAATTTAAACATAAACTAACCTCCAGCCATAGTTGTTTTAGTAGACTGCCTTGGATTGTTGTGAACTGCCTGAGTTGGTTGTTGTAGTTGTCTAGCAATGTGACTCCCACTTTCTCACATATTCAAAATAGATGGTGTATAGAACAGAATGTCAAAAATGACAGTAATCTGTGCAGTGGGGGAACTCTCCTTTTATAGTCTATATGTCATCAATATAGACTTTGTAACGGTTTCGTTACAACCGTTACAACACTAATTAGCTCCCACTTAATGACTATTTAAATACCCCTTATCTATCACCATTTATTGTGTTTTTCAAATAGAAAAGCGTTACATTCTCTCACTTGGTGCAATTACAAACTCAAAAAAACAATGAACACGAACTATAGAGATATGTCCTCTTAATACGAGTAGTATCTACTATAATCACAATGTATCTTGTCCCTAAGTACTTTATGTGGTAACCAAAAATTAATGGATAAACTTTATGTTTATTCCAGGTCCAAAAGATATATATTTTCTCAACAATAAAATGTGTGCACAATACAATATGAGAAAATATCTGAATGCTTTAAGAATTTCATAAAATAATTGTATGTATACAAATTTTACAAAGTAGGCGCAAGTCCCATTTTCTCAACAAAATCTCTAAACTTGAATGGTGGCATGCCTTTAGTTAAAGGATCAACAATCATCTACTCAATGCTTATATGCTCAATGACCACTTTCTTATCTTTAACACGCTCCCTGATGGCTAAGTACTTGGTGTCGATATGCTTACTTCAACTCCCACTGTTATTGTTCTTAGCTAGGAAAACTGCAGCTGAGTTGTCACAATAAACCTTTAATGGCTTAGAAATAGAGTCCATAACTCTAAGCCCTGAAATGAAATTCTTAAGCCATACACCTTGAAATGTAGCCTCAAAACATGAAACGAACTCGGCTTTCATGGTTGAAGTGGTGACAAGAGTTTGTTTAACCCTTCTCCATGAAACAGCTCCACCGGCCACGATAAAAATGTTCCCCGAAGTTGATTTTCAATAATCAACACAACTGGCAAAGTCTGAATAAGAATATCCAACAATGTCCAAAACGTCCATTTGTTTGAACACAAGCTTATAATCCTTGGTACCCTTGAGATACCTTAAAACCTTCTTTGCATCTCTCCAGTGGTTTAAACCCGGATCACTTTAATATCGTCCTAGCATTCCAACAGCAAAGGCGATGTCCGGCCTAGTACAGACTTGAACATACCCGAGCCATCCGACAACTGGAGCATAAGGAATATTCTTCATGGATTCTCTTTTAAAATTACTCTTTGGACATTGGTCCCAACTGAATTTATCCCATCTCACTATAGGAGTTGGACTCGGTAAACAATCCTTCATCCGAAATCTTTCTAAAACTTTGTTGATATAGGTTTCCTGCGGTAGTCCCAGAATACCCCAAGATCTATCCCTATGGATCTTTATGCCAATGACATAAGATACCTCGCCCATATCTTTCATATCAAAGTTCTTAGAAATGAATTGCTTAACCTCGTGCAGCATTCCCTTATCATTTGTTGCAAGTAGAATATCATCCACATATAAAACAATAAAACAAATTTTACTCCCATTTGTCTTTTGGTATATTCAATGATCTAAGTGACTTTCAACAAATCCATATAAAGAAATGACTCCGTCAAACTTGATATACCATTGGCGCGAAGCTTGTTTTAAACCATAGATGGACTTTTTGAGCTTGAAAACCAAATGCTCACCTTCACTAGAAGAGAACCCTTCAGGTTGTTTCATATAAACCATCTCTTCTAGATCACTATTAAGGAATGCCGTTTTCACATTCATTTGTTGCAATTCAAGATTGAAATGTGCAACCAAAGCCAAAATTATACGAAGTGAATCTTTCTTTGATACAGGAGAAAATGTCTCCGTGTAGTCGATTCCTTTTTTTTGAGTAAATCCTTTAGCAACGAGCATAGCCT